GCGTTGATATCGTAAGGGACCCCTTCGAGATTAGGATCGTATCCCGACTCCATATAGTGTGGACATTCATGGCCTCCATGTCCCGTCTCACCGCAACAACCACAAACTTCGGCCATCACCACTTGAGTGGATTTCACATCTCTCAACCTTAATTGTTTAAGTTCCTCCTCCAACGAGGCTAACTTGGCAAGCACGGCGTCGTTTGAGGACCCGGTTGATGGAGTAGCTTCATTCACGGGGGTCCTCTTACGCACGCTCTTCCGTTGGGAATTCTCACTCAACATCTCATATAGCTCGTAGATCTCCTCGGCCGTGTGGCTCCCAATGTCTCCTCCGGCCGCATGATCGACCATGTATTGAAGTGTTTGACGGAGCCCGTCGTAGAAGAATTGAATTAGTACCCCGAGGCAAAAGTGATGATGGGGGCATTGAAGTTGATACCCCTTGAATCTCTCCCATGCCTCGTGAAAGGTCTCCCCGACGTTTTGACTAAAGCTTGCAATTTGGGTCCGGAGATCGGTGGTCTTTTGGTGTGAGTAGTACTTGCCCATGAACTTCTCATATACGGCTTCCCACGTGTTGAGCGAATTAGGAAGCAACGTCATGAACCAAGTTTTTGCTCGATCTTTCAATGTGTAAGGGAAGCACCTCATTCGAAGTTTATTCTCGGTTAGTCCTTGGAGGGGAAATGTGTTGACGGTTGCATAGAAGTCTCGAATGAAGTGGAGAGCATCTTCTTGGGCGAGGCCATAGAATGAGGGAAGTTGGTTTAGATGGATGATCTTAAGGTCGTAGCTTCGGGCCGCCTCCCCGAGCACGAGGCACGAGGTGTTGTCTCCAATAATCGGTCGTGCAAAGTACCTCATGTTCGGGGGAGGTTGTGGAAGTTGATTCTCTTGTCCCGCCATTGGTTCGATTTCGGGTTCGGGTTGCGGTTGAGGTTCTTCGATATTAAGTTCAACAACGAGATCGAATGGGGGCGTCTCCTTTCGGGGTCTTCCTCTTCGTCTACCTTGCATAAACAAAACCACAAACTATACCCGTGAACGTATCAATGGGAAACAAGGTCCAACAAAAGTAACAAAAACAAATGAACGACAAAAAGCAAGAGAAATAAGGAGAAACACGAAAATTAAGTAAAATCACCAAAATCAAGAGAAACACAAGAAAATGAGACAATCAAATAGCAAACTAGGCGTCC